AGAATTTATGCCTACTCAACTCCAATTTCCGTTGAAATTGCCGACTCCCAAATAGATCGGAGCTTTGATTCCAGGTTTTGTCGGTCTTGTTGCTGGATATTCAAGGGATAGATCAAAAGCGCTTGCGAATACCATCCTTTGATTAAAACCAAGAATAGCTAAGGAGATCTGAAACAAACCGATGACTGGTATCCTCCTTCCGAATGAACTCTCAAAAATAATTCTGCAGGCTTTTCTACAAGTCATTGGTATCAAGTTGAGAGGAATTATGCAAAACACATTGTGGTATAGTTTCTGGAACAGTTATAGGTTATCCTATTAAAAGTAGGTCCGGAGTTTGAGATGCTTGTGGCTTCTCCTACTTACTATATTCATTTTGCGAGAGAAAAGATTAGGTGGATTTGGTTAGACATACAACATTCACCTGCAATGAATCTGTTCCAACACACCAATTGTCATCTTAGTATCAAGATTCCTGCCTTGCATTTTCCACTCAAACCCTGTGTCATGATCCCTAATGTGCTCTTAGCTATCTGGTTAGGTTTCATCTAATTTTCTTTGTGTCGTTTTGAGCTAATGATGATGCTATATGAACCTGTTTTTCCTCATAGCAAGTCACCAAGACGGGGCTCCTTCAGAAACTGATACTCCGTTAGTTGCTTGGGGAGCTAGGATTAAATATCCCAAACCAGCATCTGGAAGCAGTCACTCTGATTCTGTCACTGGATTTGTTGACAAGCATGCACATGACATGCCCACACCATATGGTTGGGTCCTTAGCCGTGTTGAGACTAGACGTCAATCAAGCTGACATTATGGTTGGACGTTTCCCTCATTTTTTATCTTGGGAGTCAAATAAATTATATGTGAAAATGTTTTTCAAGTTCGTTGGTCTCACTGTTTGTTACTATCTGTAGTCAACGCTCTTGGGCTTGCCATGCTCAGTGAACTCGGTTGGGATATGAAGTTGAATGAGGTACGTTCTTATTCTTGATGTGAACTCTTGTGTCTTCTGAAAGAGATTAGATGATTGTTTATGCTACATTTCTTGGATTTCATCGAAACTCAATAGGGAGAATATATATTGGAATATAAATAGTTTCAATAAGTACATGGCTGGGAGGTCGAGACTGATGGTGGTGCTTTATCGTTTATGTATTTTCAGGCAGAAGAAGTTGAAGCTGTGCTGGCCAATGCCAAACAAATCCTTAATCTGCTTCTTCGTAAATCAAGTATTCTTCTACTCACAAAATCTAATGATAGCATCACTTCTCTGATGTCATTCTCAGCATTCAAGCTTTTGACATTGTTCATGGTATAGTACAGTAGTTTAGTAGAAAAGAATCAGTATTCGTGTTCCATAGTTCAAACAGCTTTCTCCTTGTGTTTGGAATTTTTTCCTTAGAATTTGCTTATATGCTGCCCTTCGCCTTATATATGGTCTCCTTGACGAAATCAGATATAAAAAGGTCAGATTCCTTATTTTTCCAGCCATTCAAGCCATTGGTTCACCATTTATCATCGTCGAGTCAGGTTGATGAGTTAATTTCCGCCAAAATTTATGAAGCTGCAGTGAAATTGGCTATGGACCTCAGAAACTTGTCACTAGAGGGTTTTCATTATTTCCAAACGTATGACTGGCTAATGCTGATGACTGCAGTTACCCTTGGATACACTGGATGGATGATTGTACTTACCCTGCATTGCCTGCAATATTATAGTTCACTATCAGCAGATTGTCCAGAAAAGAGCAACTACCTGAGCAGAAAAAAGACTCTGGAAAAGTAAGGCAGACATAAGCTTAAACGCTTCAACTTCATTTTTAAAAGTTTACTCTTCTTTTTAAGCTGTTCTTCTGTTTTCTTGGTTAAACAAGGTTTCTTTGTGATGGTTGAGTATCTGTACTTTTCATGTGAAATCTGTGTCTCTCATGTATTTGATCATTTTGATGCTGGTATATTTATCAGGCTTTCTGCTGATGGAAATTCTCTTGGTGGTAAATTTAGTGGAGNATGACCCCCCGCACTTTACCATGCATATATCGGAATGACAGTATATATATGGACACAGATTTTTAGTGAATATCGATTAATAAGAGGATTGTGGAGATATTTGAGGGAAAGGAAGGCTGCTGGCTACTTCATCAAACTTCTACTTGCTGCAACTGTGTCAGTTGTCATTGTCGAATTATTGGTATGTGTAATTGGATGGTCTTAAAGGTTTTTTTTTTTCTGAACTTTAGTGTAAGTCACTTTTCTTGCCCTTGCTTGAAGTTTCCATTGATTAGTTTTCCTATGTTTTTTGGTTTACATGACACAGATGCGTTGAGAATGAAAATCATCTTGAATAAGGCTTCACTCCCACTGAATTCAATGGAACTAAAAGAGTAGAACTTATGTTGAACAGAAAATAAGCATCTTTTCTCTCTAGCATCAATCAACGTCTAGTTGTGAAATGGTCAATGTTTCATGGTTGTACCATCTCTTGGTTGCAGAGTTATAATAAGTGAAGCTATCATCATAGTAATAAGCCTTGCTACAAAGTGGCTAGACACACACGCAGAAGGGAACAAATTTTGGCATGAAAGCATGTGTTCCATGCTATATTGCATACAGGTATAAAACCATTTCTACTGTGTTTGCAGGTTCTTTGTGTATAAGTTCTGGGTGATATTAACCGTCTGCTGTCTTTGCAGGTTCGTCAATTGTTCTTCCGTTGTTTTCAGGAAATGGCATTCTTTTTTGTTCTCTGATTGCCTTGAGGGTTCAATATTTCTTGGGTTTGCGCCTCCATTCCTTTACAAGACTTGGTTTATAAATTTAGAGTTCACTGATGGATTATTGTTCTGTTCTCATGTTTCCGGAGTTTTTTTTTTGTTTGCAGACATTACAGTGGTCTTGGCGTCGTACTCATGGCATGGATATTGTTTGAGAACACTTGTCATCATTCATAGGAAAAGATTTCTCTCTATCAGAACAAAAGAGAGAGGAACATGTAACTATCAGAAGTGAACTATCAAAACACTTGTCATCATTGTAACATATAAAAGATTTATTATCTCTAACAGAACAAAAGACAGAGGAACATGTAACAATCAGAAGTGAATTATCAAAAATCTTCTCATCATTCTAACATACGAAAAGATTTATCTCTATGTAAACTATCAGAAGTCAACTATCAAAACGGAGCAACTAGTCAAGAAGTGCAAGAAAGCTTCGAATGTCTTTTTTGCATTGCGTTTTATCGATCGTTTCCGGAGGCATCTCATCAACGACTAATGATTGTTGCTGCTTCCACGACATCTGTACGTAGTTCTTAGTTGAAAGAGATGCTAATCCGACCAATACTACTATCCACATTGGGATGGCCTTTTGGGCCATCATCAGACCGAATCCCGCAAACAAAAACCCTTCGCACAATGCCACCGTGTCTTCAACATGATATCGTGCCTCAATTGTCAAGAGATAAATCAGGAAGGCCAAAGAAAAATTCATCAATTTCATATCTTCCCTGAAATTCATTGACTCGCCAATCCACTGAGATAAGTAATTGCATGCAAAAGACAGACCGGATTTCAGCAACGCTTGATAAAATAACTTCATTCTTCCTTCCCATTGGATGAGAGGTGGGAACTTAAGCATTAGTATCCAAGTCATGAGGAAGAAAACAGAACTGAACCCTTGCTGTGTTCGTGTTAGATTCCACAAGTACGAAGAGGCATAGAAGAATTGGGTAGCGAAGGCCAAAGAAATATACCCGAGGGATCGAGAATAATGAAGAATTTTTATAAAGACAGGATCTGCTATTGGACCTTTGGATTTAACGTCTACTGATCTCTTGGAGTAACACATCTGAATGTAGTTTTTGCTAGTCAGTGATACCGGACCAACTATGACTACAAGCCACGATGGGATTACGTTTTGGTTTATCATCAAGCCATAGCCGGCAAACAGAAATCCGTCGCAAATTGCCAACTCTTCTTCGAAGTGGAAACGCGCTTCAGTCGTCAAAAGATACATCAAATACCATACCGAACTTGTCGCCATGTTAAAATCCTCGTGTAGTGTCATAGCCTTCCCAACCCAATCAAAGAAGAGATAAGAACCAAAAGCCATAACTGATTTCAACAAAGCGTGATAACCCAAACCCAAATCTTTCAGCGATTCTTCCAAATTGATGGGAAGTGGAAGTAAGAACATAGTGTTTAAGAAGAAGAAAACGCATGTCAGAAACTGTTGGAGTTCGGTCAACGTCGAGAACAAGGGAGAAGCAAAGAAAAAGTATATGGCAAGTTGCAAAGCAATGCAACTGTAAGCTTGTGCGTTTAAAGAAGACGACAAGATCCTCTTGAAATTGTCACAGGTTTTGCAGATATACTTGTACGTTTCTTGCATCCAACCGGAAGCCATATCTCCGTTAGGTTTAAGAACGTTGGACCATGCCGGAAGCAAAGAAGCCGTTGTTATAATGACGATCTTAACCCAGTTCATGGTTGAAGAGATTGATGATTCGTGAGGAAAACGAGAGAAAACTTGACGATTCGTGAGAGAAAAGGAAAAACAAAATTCTGATGATTCGTTTCGTGAGAGAAAAGGCAGAGAAAATATGATGATGAAACCCTAAAAAAAAATCTCTCGTACTTATAGAGGGTATTTAAGTATAATCGTTATATCTTTTTAAAAACCTAAATCGTGAACTAAATTAAACTTTATCTTGAATCCTAAGTCAGTTAGGTTTTGGGGTTTTGCATCAGTCAGTTAGGTTTTCTGTTTTTGCAATTGAAGAAGAAAACGTATATTTTTTTTCAGCATGTAAATTATTGTATAGTTCAATAAAGTAATAAATGTTTTATTTGGAGAATATTTTAACAATTCTCAAATAACACGAGAAGTGGCTCTTGACTCACTAGTAAGTAACTTTCAACCTCTGTTTTTTTTTCAATTAGATTTCTAATCTTTTTTTTTTTAAAACAGAACACATATATTGTAAAATAGTTTTGTTTGAATAAAATTGTACATTTATGCCAAAAAAGAAAGAAAGAATTCATTAATCTGAAATTAAAAACATGAAAAAAAAAACCATGAGATGACTTAAAGTCTTAAACTACCAAAACAAAAAAATGATTCCATTAATTTATTGTAAAGAAAATGCAATTCCATAGTTTTAACTTTTAACTTATGAGATTGAAACGTGATTCCATAATTTTTGCAGCAAATTGTAATGCCAAAAATGCAATTCCGGGATAACTGTGTTCTTTTTGTTGTTCTAAAGTGAATAGATATGATCATTATACAGAACTCAAGGAAATGGTCGTTGAGAAAGTGAAGTATTTAAAAAACACTCTTTAACTATTTTTTGACGTCATTTTCTTCTTCTTCATCGTCATCTTTAGCAAAGATGGTCTTAGGCTGGGTCTCAGAGTAAGCAGGTGCAATAAACTTTGGGTCGTTAACAGCAACATCTGCGTATTTCAATATCGCTTCTCTTGGATCTTCCTCCATCCACGTCTCTTTTATCATCCCACCTTGCTGCAAAACACACGCACAACAACAAAATTTCAACACATAACAATCACTAATACGACCTGAATTGGAAAGACCCGAAGAAGATACCAAGGTGAGGCTCCTTACCTTGAGAAGATATTGTGTTAATAAGCTACTACCAGTAGTCCCAACTCTTCCACCATGACCAGGACCTGTCATGGGAAGCTCAGGCTTGTGGGCTTTAGCAGGATCCTTCAATGCCTTTTCTCTTTGTCGTTTACGGCTTGGTGGGTCTCTAAATAATGGTAATGCATGAGGATTGTGTATTACTGGTTCTGGTTGGTAATCGTCTACAGATTTCTTCCTTGGTGCACGTGCAACACATACGCATGCGCCTCTCTCGCTCTGGGTTGGGTCGTAAAGAATGTGAGTTCCTCCTTGGCTTTTGTCTCCGGATGTTGCAAATATCTACAAACAAAAGAAACCTCTTAAATGTGAAGTCTGACAAACATATTTTTTTGTCGAATAGAACACTGCTTCTATTGTTGATGTTGTTTACCTGATTCAACCTCGGGTGCCAAGCGCATTGCACCACGCTGCTAGTTGGAGAAATCCCGACTTTTTGAACAATCTCGAGTTTGGTGCGGTCGTAAAAGCAGAGCAAGCCTCCTGTCGTACTGTCTTTCTCAACGGATGTTCCAGTCAGGATGATTTGTTCATCTGGACTAAAGGCAACGTTTGTTTGGGGATAATTATTAGGGAGACCGTCAAAAGCCTTTAGAGCTTCTTTCATTAGCCGCAAATCCCAGACCTGATCAAGATCCAAGAAAGAGTTCAGTTTTTATGTCTGAGCAAACTGGTCAGAGACAGGATATGATTTAAGGTTTACCTTTAGAGAACCATCGAAACTTCTTGACAGCAGAATTCTCCCATCGCTAGAGAACTTTACAGAGGTTATATCATCAGTATGGGCCTTCCCAACGTATATATCTGGTCGGCTTCCCCATCCCGGCTTAATACTCCAAATCTGGATTGATAAACAACAAAGATATAAGTCCCCTAATCTGCCCAAGTTAAGCGTGATATAACACAAACTTTCTCTGAAAGAATATAATCAGAAGATCAGAGCAAGCCTTACCTGTATAGATCCATCGCCAACGCCACCAGCGATACGCTTTCCATCACGGTCCCAAGCACAGGTTGTCACTGGAACCCTCCCTGGTCTAGAAAGCTTCGGCTTAATAACCTGTCCAAGAAACAGTTAAATGATGCCACTTGCATGCTATAATCAAACCACAATTTTTCATTGGAGACAGATTGCAAACCAGAAACCTCAAATGCGAATCATAGACAGGGGAAAAGTACCTGCGTTTGGCTAAGGAAGTTATTAACATCCCATATACGCAAAGACCCGTCTTCCGAAGAAGTCAGAACCGTTTCCTTAGTCCTCGGATGCCATTCTCCGCAAGTCAACCCGCAAATATGGCCCTTAGTGTTCTTCAGATCACGTATATACATATCCCCTTTCATAAACTCACCAAGGGTAAGACCATCACGATCAAAAATCTGAGATTCAAAAAAGAACAAACAAATGTGAGCAATTCATAGATGATAAAGAAACGTAGAACAGAGTCAAGAGTCATGAAACATACCTTAGCTTGTGCAGAGCCAGTAACACATAGAAACTGACCAGAAGTAGGGCTCCAGCTCAAACTTCGAACTTGATGACCTTCAGATGGTTCGATCTGTCTAAAAGATTGAAGTCTAGAATTCATCCCTTGGAAATCATACATACGAACAGTGTAGTCATAGCTACCCGAAAGAACCCTAGCTCCGGCACTATCAACAGCTAGAGATGAAACAATCTGAATTCCACAAAAGAGAGTTTATATTTTTTCAATTCACAAGTTCAACAACACAATCGTAAATCCACAAAAGAGTTTAGTGGTATACCTTCGTGTGGCCCTTGAGCTGAATCTCATTGCTCAATGGGATCTTGTACCGATTC